GAGCAGGTTTTCTGTTTCCTACAGTTCAATAGTTTTCTTGGACATATTCCCTGTTGAGCCAGGTGTACTGCCCTTTTACCCTTTGTTGTAGAGTCTCTGTTCATCCAGTTTTCAAGTCCCTTTCTTATGGAATTATTCCATATATAGTTGTAGATTTGTTGGGTTCATGGGAAAAATGAGTTTAGGATATTCCTACACTGCTATCTTGAACCCTCCCAAATTTCAGATTATGTAATCTTGACAAGAATACCACAGTAAACCTTAGCATCATTAACAAAGTGAAAACCCAAATGCACCAGCAAACATTGATAAACCTGCAGTTAAAAGCACAATTTGTACTCTTCTGTTATTTTTTGGATGTTTAAAGTGCTGAAATATTTTAGAAAGAAAGTTACCAGCATTAAATTTTGAAACAGAAGTAATGAGGAGAAAAGAAATTGTCAAAAATAATTACAAAGAATATAAGGAGAGTCATAAATAAGCAGTAATAAAAGGTTAATAGAATTAGAGATGAGGAGAATATTTTCAAGCAGAAAGGATCTGAGATGAATTCATTGATAAAGCAGATTTTCAACTGACCTTGAAGGATGGCCAGGATTTCAATTAAAAACATGGGTAAAGGTACTCCACATAAAGAAGGCAGCATAAGAACAATGGAATTAAGGCAGAAATGGGAGGTTGTGTTCAATGGGAGGTGATGCAATTACCCTAGTGTACAGCACATGCCTATACTAATGGTAACGACAGAAATGGCCTGGGACTTCCCTGGAGGTGCAGTGGCTAAGAATCCACCTGCCAGGGCTTCCCTGGTGGCACAGTGGTTGAGAGTCCACCTGCCGATGCAGGGGACACGGATTCGTGCCCCGGTCCAGGAAGATCCCACATGTCGCGGAGCGGCTGGGCCCATGAGCCATGGCCGCTGAGCCTGTGCATCCGGAGCCTGTGCTCTGCAACAGGAGAGGCCACAACAGTGAGAGGCCCGGGGACATGGGTTCAAGCCCTGGTGCAGGAAGATCCCTACTTATTATTCTCTTTATCACATAATGCTCCTGAATAATAAGTTTCCTTTCTTCCTTGAATAATTTCTCTGTGGGATAGAGGGGAAGTAGAAAAAGGACAGTAAAATTGAATTTCACATCTTTCATACTAATTCACCCATTATTTTAAAAACCCAGACTTAATGTATTCAACACAAATAGCAATTTGAAACATAAAATAATGTAGCACAACATTTAAGCTGTTTATGAAAACAAATTATTATTGCATAGACCACAGCAATTAATACCAATTTTGTCAAGGGACACAACCCATACATAAAAGTTATTTTATGCATGGCTTACAAATTGCTTATAGGTCTACATTTTGGTTGCATGATTGTAGCTCAGACAAATTTATCATCTTTGAATTTTTTTTCCACACAACACTGTTATATTTTCTATTTTGTAGGTGCATCTAAGTTATTATAAGAAATCAGAGTCTAAAAATTGAATATGGGAAGATGAGAGCTAATAGTGTCTTCATAAGTAGTCCTATGTTGTTCATAAAGTATAAGATTTTCTCCTATCAAATACCAATAGGTATACAATTTGAAGATAAAATGTATTTCCTCAATATTTTTACACAATACTGATATCATAATTTAAATGGCCAATAAAATTTGAATTCTTCAAGGAAATAAAAATGATGGGTGTGGAGAATCACTCAAAATTTTGCCACAAATTTTTAGTGCTTCTCTGTTTCGGGGAGACAATTAACATGAAATTACTTGTACCTTATATGCATTTTACTGTAATAAATTGTCTATAATTTCCAATTGTAACATTTTTCATTTGTAACCAAAAAAACTAACTCAATGTACTGTGGAATACTAAACAAAAATAAAAAATAACAGAGATGATTGGAAAGTAGACGACTGCCAGTTTGAAAATTATAGTGTAGAGTCAACATTTCCCCTTTTTTATTCCTGCAAATCATCCCAAAACAGAGAGAATGAGAAACAATTACGCAAATGTCCTATTTATTGAAAATGGTAAACAGTGAACTCTTAGACCTCCAGGTCAAAAGAATGGTTCCAAAATCAGATTTCAAAAAGAATTAACAAACATAGCTTCCACTAAGGCTAGGGTCCATGCCTTTTTATATTGTCAACATGATGCAACAGTTTCAGGTAGAAGCATCTATGGAAGTGGTTTGGTTCCAAAAAGCAGAAAAAGTGAGGCTAAATGAGGAACTATATAGAAAAGACATATATGTAGAAAGTAGTCTATATCTGTGAAAATAAACAGAGAAGTAAAGTCTTTCATTGTGGGGGGGGGGAGAAAAAAAAAAAAGAACAAACAACAAAACCCACATTTTCTATCTCCCTTAGCTAGACCAAGTAAAACTCACTTTGTTCAGTGATACAAAAGAAAAACTGGACCAGCACAGGATCTATATAAAGATGCTACAAGAGAGAGAGAAAACCAATTACACATAAAGAATCACATACTAAAAACATATTGCCATAAAAGAAGTGGAAAATTGTGACCAAACATTTCCCCATGAAGTTTTAAAATGTAATGAATTGCAATCACCTTTTTGAAGCAATTATGTAGTACAGAAATACAGGGTGTCAAGGTGAGGTTGGTAAGATAAGAACAAGAAATGCACTGTAAGCTTCCAGGGCTCAACCAAATGTTACAACAAAAAAAGTAAAAGCAACATAAAAATGAAGGAGAAATTTGAAATAATACAGGGGAAGAGAGAGTACTGAAAGCACAAGAAAGGAGCAAGGATTGAAATGATAAATACAAGCTAAGTAAATGGATATTGATAAAGAATCAAAAAGAATTAGAGAGAAATTGTAGAGTATATTACAGACAAAAATAAATCCAACATACATATAAAAGGAATCCCTGAAAAAGAAAACCATAATAATAAGATAGAGCAAACATTTAATGATATGAGTCAAGAAATTGTTCCTGAAATAAAAGAATATTGAATCTACATCTTGGGGAAAAGACCCCCCCAAAAGAAAGGAAAATAAAGACAAAAAGTAACCACATCCCTGGGCAAAACGGTCCCGAACAGTCAGCACAAGGATAACACTCTAGTGAAGTCACTAGACTTCACATATAAATGAAGAATCCTTTAGTCTGCCAGGCAAATAAGAATTCCCTAAATTCTACAATGCTAGAAGAAAGAAGAGCAACATGGTCAAACTGCACTTCAAGTATAAGACAAGAGACAAACGCTTTGGAAGATGCAAGATTTCAGAAACATTGCTTTTCCTCAGGAATCTACTAGAGGTGACTTTCATCCAAGAGTTGGTTAAAAAACAATAACAAACTTGACAACAATGTAAGCTCCTGTTGGAAGCAAATCCTCCCCAAGTGATCACTGGAAGTTTCAGGGGATTATAGCTCCAGACAGCTTGACCACGACCTCTGGAGATACCCTGATCCAGAACCTCCCAGCTAAGCTGCTCCTAGATTCCTCAGCCATAGACACTGTGATACCATCATTGTCTGAAGTTGCTAAAGTTTAAGGTAACTTGTTACGCAACAATAGAGGACCAAAACAAGGCTCTTAAAAGTATTGTTGAAGAGGCTGGAATGCTGGAGAATAGGGAGAGGAATTTTTAAAGAGTTGCTGATGTGCTGTGAGTCCCACCATCCTCCACAGGGAAGACTGAGGGATATCATCAACCTCAAGCAGAGGGGACAAGGGTTTCCAGCAGAGCCTTTGGGACTGACAGGTGTTCTCTGGCTTTACAGGACACCAAGACTCATGCTAGACCCATGCTTGGAAATGACTAAAGGTAAGAGGCTGTGGTGCATTCCTG